GCTTTTCCCTAATGGATACTTAGTTGCTTTTCTCTTAATTATAAATTCTCTTACTTTACATTTGGTTTACTGAAATTTAATCATCCCTCTAGGCATTTTACTTAGAGTTTTGTATGTGTTGTTTTGGAATTAATTTAAGCTTTTTATAAATGATAATACCAAATTTATTTTTTTTTGAGGGACCAAATCTGGCAATGCTCAGGGCTTTCTCTTGGCTCTATGCTCAGGGATCACTCCTGATAGTGCTAGGGCCATGCTGGGAATTGAACTGGGGTGAGAGGCAAGGGCCTTATCCCTGTACTATCGTTCTGGTCCAATACCTAATATTTTAATGCTCACAATTATGTTCAGTACATTTTGGTAACACAGACATTATTTTACTATTCCAACTTTATAAATAAGAAAAATAAGGAAAGAAATGGGAATATGTTATGTTGCCAAAGTAGAAATGGTTAAATATTTAATACCATGTCGGAAGTGCTAAGCTTACTTTTCCTATACACATTTTTGGTCCTGATTTTACTTTTACCGGAGTTCAAGAGGTGCATGCAGGCTGTCTTAGTTCAAGTTATTAAAGGAGCACAATCATAGTCACCTGAAAATCTGCTAAAAATAAAATCCCCAGGCTCCACCCTCAGTATTTCTATTTAAGGAGATTTGGACTGGGCTCTGGAATTTGCATTTTCAACAGGTTCCCAGCTGCTGTGTATGTTTCAGGTCCTTATGGTACTTGGTTTAGTTAAACAAAACTAACCTCCAGATAAAGACGCTTCTATTTATCTAATTCCACCCAAGTATGACAAGTTAATATCTAATGACAGTTGGTTAACGAAATCCTTTTCTTATTTTTTTGCTTCCTAGAGACACACTTTAGAATTTTTTCTTTTAACTTTCTTAAGACTGCTGTGGTGGCAGCTTCAGAACAAAGCTGCTTCTTTATGTTTAAGTGATGCCTTTGACTGAATGGGCCACAGATAGAAGTTCCAAAAGCTGGGGCTATTGATTATTCCTGGTCTGTGATTGGCACAACAATCAAAACCTATCACTTGGAAAAAAAAAACTATCACTTGGAGTGACGTTTCTAATCTTAATGGTTCAAGAATTACAGGCTGCTGTTCTGTAAGCTGAATAATTTTTTAGCTCTCTTGTTATGGCTATTAGTTAAGCTGTATATTTATGGGTAGCATAATTATCATTAGCAAGTGATAATTTACCAAAGCCTGTTCATTTTTTTTTTATTTCAGATCATTAATCATCCTTAGTTGGCAGTTTTGTTGTGTTTTTTTTTAAAAAAAAAAAAACAGAACCAGTTATTCTGAGCTCACTGTTACGTGTTGTTTGTTGGAAGAATATTGAATTGATAACAGTTGAATGGTTTATAATGTGAAGTGTGCAAGAAATAAGAGAATCAAAGATTAAAAGTTGCTCCTATATTTCCAACTATACGATATATGCATAGGATAAACAGTGTTAGTATGAGAGGAGGGAAAAGATGCCAAAGGGGCATCTCAGAATGAAAGGGCCTTATTTACCTCCTTGAAAAAACATTATTTCCCTGACTTATTTATACTCCCATAACCTAAAAAATATGGGGTTAGGAAATGGTGTTATGATAATAGTAGGTGTATTCTGTAACTCCTTGTAAATTCTGTTCTAGACCCAGGCTTATTAAACTGTGGATATGCAACCCCATAAACACAGGGGTAATAAACTGGAAATAGCAAACACTCATTAAAATCACTATGAGCAAAAAAATAAAAATTAACTATGCAATGAATCTGAAGAGTTTTTTACAGTGCTTTTGCCTTTTTGATTTTCTTGGGTGATAAGAAATTATTAGTTGAAAAAGTCTAAGATGCCCTAAAATGGGACCAAAGGGTAGTAGAGAGGTTGTTACTTGTTTTTCATGTGGTTATTCCTGTTTCTATCCTGACACTGAATATAGGAACCCTAGCACCTCCTGTAGTGATCCCTGAGCACTGTAGCCCTCAAACAAAACAAAATAGAAAAGAATCTCTTTTCTTGGCTACTTTTTAGTAATATGAATCAATAGATTATAAGGCCTTTGATGATAATTTCAAATTCACCCTAATGACTGCTACATCAAGAGACTACATTTGGAGTGAATATGATTTAGGCATAGTAACTTATAAAGTATATGATCTTGGACAAGCTATGTAACTTCTCTGGGGGTCAGTTTACTCATTTGTAAAATGAGGAAAAAACTTGCTTCACAAGGAAGTTGTGAAAATGATGTGAAGATGATATTTAGTAGTAGGTAGATGATGTATAAGAAACAGAGTCTGGCTTTACATTTGATGCTCAAGTTCTGATGCTCATAATTCAGCACTGCATCTCCCTTCATAAAATATGAGTCTTTCTCACACAGAATGTTTTTCTCACAGTGTCATGAATATGGCATTTTATTTTCCTTGACCTTGCCAAAAATCTCTCATGCATTTTACTTTCTGAGCTTGTTGAACTCTTTGGAAGTAGGAATCTCTCAGTTTAGTTCTATTTTCTGTTCTTTTTGGGAGCAAAGGGTTCAAATGTAGAAGGGAAATGACTGAAGATACAGAGTCAGAGATCACTAAATCACTAACAACTAACCCTGTGATCTCCATCTATTCCTTTGGTGCACCCCTGAGCTTTCCATGATGCTAAGTACATGGCTCCTTCCTGCCCTAGCTCCTCACCATGCAACCAGAAACAGCAATTGCACTGCCACAGTGCTGTCTACAAAATGCTTCGAGTGGTATGAAAATTCTGAACCCAGGGAATGCTCTCATGTCGAATCTGAAAAAAAAAAACCCATCTAGATAGCAGGGAGAATGAGCACCACAGATTTTATACAGAGCTAAGTGGGGCATGCTGAAATCATAATGAGAGTATTTATCCTTCCCTTCTGCCAGCTTATAGATTGATAGATTGGCCAATGCTGACTGTTTCATTAAGGATTTACCATGATATTTCATTTTCTTTTCTTCAATAGCTCCTCTAAAGCTCATACTTATTTTCTATTATGGCTTGCCCCTGCAAAGGCTGTTTGAACCCCTATTAACCATCAGCAAAGCTGCCCCCTTGATGTATTTCTTCAGCTCTCTGTTGAAAATAAATGTGTCACAAAGAATATTTTTATAAGATGCTGAGAAATGCTCTTTGAAGGCACACAAAGTAAACTATGGTAAAACGAAGCTCCTATTGAAAAGCAGCTATTTACCATATTTACTAATAATCATCCCCGTGGCGTATTTGATATGGCAAAAACAGTAACAAGTCTCACAATGGAGATGTTACTGGTGTCTGCTCGAGCAAGTCGATGAACAACGGGAGGACAGTGCTACAATGCTACTAATAATTAAAACATCAAGGTCCTCAGTACTGGCCTTTCAATTGCCGGGTACTGTGCTATTTCATACATTGCTTTATACTATATACATCACAGGTCACACCTCTGTGGCAGGTCATTGTTAATCCTGTTGTGCAAGTAGAGCAGTTAATGTTGAGATTGACTCTGTTAATGCCAGAGGAGCACAGAATGAAAAGCCTGGACCTAGGCTAGAGCTTTGTTCTATATCTGATTGTGTCCTTTGGCAAGGAAAATAAGTTTAAAATATTTTGTCATCTTTAAAACCCACACTAGTGTCTTGCTGTGAGGGTTAAACTTGACAATAACTGTGAGGTGTTAAACCTAGGACTTGTTTTTTTTATTTTTATTTATTTATTTATTTATTTTTGCTTTTTTGGGTCACACCCAGCCATGAACAGGAGTTACTCCTGGTTCATGCACTCAGAAATCTCTCCTGGCAGTGCTCGGGGGACCATATGGGATGCTGGGAATCGAACCTGAGTCTGCCTCGTGCAAGGCAAACACCCTACCTGCTGTGCTATTGCTCCAGCCCCTGTTTTTTTAAAATCACTTACTGATTTATTAATTTTTTGGTTTGTTTTTGGGCCACACCTGCTGAGCTCAAATTACTTTTGGTTCAGCACTTAGGACTTACTCCTGGTGGTGCATGGGGGATCATACAGGTTTTGGGAATTGAACCCTGGCCAACCATATACAAGGCAAACATCTTACCCACTGTAAATCTCTCTCTAGCTCCTAGAAAGTAATTGAACATTAGTTGTCACCTCTAATTTCCTTCTGTGTTTTTTCCTTCTCCCTTTGGGGACACATTCAGTAGTGTTCAGGGATTACTCTTTGTTCAGGGTTCATTCTTGAAAGTGCTGGGGTGCAAATTCCTGTCCCAGGGAATTGAACCAGGGTTAACTATATGCAAGGCAGTCAATTTACTTCCTATACTATCTCTTTGGGCTGGAGCAATAGCACAGTGGGTAAGGCATTTGCCTTGCTCGTGGCCAACAAGGCCGACCCAAGTTTGATTCCTTCGCCCCTCTCGGAGAGCCTGGCAAGCTACTGAGAGTATCATGCCCACAAGGCAAAGCCTGGCAAGCTCCCCATGATGTATTTGATATGCCAAACACAGTAACAACAAGTCTCACAATGAAGACATTACTGGTTCCACTCAAGCAAATCGATGAACAATGGGAGGACAGTACTACTATCTCTTTGGTCATAATATATGGTTTTCATGTTGAGTTTTTGACTGTTCCCAATCATATTTTCTATTTTTTCCCCTCTGGGCCACACATTCACTGGTGCTCAGGACTTAGACCTGACTTTGCGCTCAGGAATTACTTCTGATAAATGTCTAGGGACTTTAAGGGGTGCCTGGGAAGGGACCTTGGTCAGGTGCCTGAAGGCAAGCACTTTACTTGCAGTGCTGTCTGTTTGTCCCCCTTCTCATTATTTATGGGTCCTTGTAACAGTAATGTAGGAATTCTTGCAAAAATAGTAAAAATGTGTGTTTTCTGAAAAGCCTGTTGGAAGAGTTTTATTAGATATGGGGTCAATTTTAAATAGTCACATTCAAATTTGGGGTTCAAATGTGAAAAAGATCACATTTTTTTTCAGCTTTCGAGATTTAACTCAAACAATGGAAGATGGTCAAAATGTGATTTGCATAAACTTCCCCATGGGCTCATTTCCAAGGTCTTTTACCTTTGTGTTTGAACTGAAGGTAAGTATAGGTACCTCATAATGTGTGTGTGTGTGTGTGTGTGTGTGTGTGTGTGTGTGTGTGTGTGTGTGTGCAGAGCAGTATATAAAAAAGTACCTGGGTCTCAGGGTTGGAGAGATACTACAGAAAATAAGGTGATTGCCTTTCATGCAGCAGATCCAGGTTCTATCCCTGGCATCCCTTATGGTCTTCCAAGCACCATCAGGAGTAATTACTGAGTCCAGAACCAGGAGTAACCCCTGAGCATTGCTTGGTGTGACCCTCAACCCCCCACCCCAAAAAAGTATGTGAATCTCCTTTTGTTATGACTGGTAGGCTTAAACATTGATCAAAAATACCCAAGTGGAACCAGCTTGAGCAAAATAAAATTTTGTTTTACTTATTGGGACAATATCTTTTTGAGAGTCTATATTCTACATAAGAAAACAAACAAACAAGCAAAAACTACAGATATGTTTTTTGGCATTGGCTCAGACTAAATTGAGGAAGGACTCCTTGGCTCCTATTTAATGCATTTGTTCCACCACCTGCAAGAAGAATGAACTATCACATGTCTCTGCTTCACCCTCTATTTTTTCCTCCTTTGCTAACCAGCCAGCCCATGAAGCTCTTCACACAATTCCCGTAAGAACAAGCAGGCACCACCAGATTCCCATTCTCCACTCCCACCTCCCCTGAGATTTATCACATATCTTTTATCATCATCTAAATTTTCATATCAGTTAGGAAGCAAATAGAATTTGCAGCTTAATTTAGCTCACAGATTTTTCAAACATAATGAAAATGATAAGCTACTAAGACCTGCAGGTTTGTTATGGTTCTGGTAATAGTAATTAATATATAGCCATGAGCAAGCCTAACTCTCCTACCAAAAAAACAAAAGCATCTAATTTCCTCATCTATATAGACTGTTTAATTCCTGTTCTGCTTCTGAAAAATGCTTTGGTGATGGGTATATGGTGTTATGGTGTATGGAGTTTTTTTTGAAGAAATTGTAAAGGGGCTGAAGGGATAGCATGGTGAGGAAAGCATTTGCCTTGCACATGGCTGACTTGGGTAATCCCCAGTACCCCATATGGTATTCAAGTCCACTGGAGTGATCGCTCAGTGTAGAATCAAGAGTAAGTTCTAAGCACCACTTTGGTGTGACTTAAAAACAAAACACAAACAAACAAAAAAGAAATTACAAAGTACTCTGTAGGGGTACTATAACTATTTTTATATAAAATATTGTGAACATTAGGATTGTTTCAATGTTTTACATAAAATGATGTAAACATAAAATAAGATTGTAATTTCTTACTATATTACAAGAGATTTGTTTTTATTTATAAGAACCAGAGAAATATTCAAAACAAACTGATGGCTCTATTTGAATCTTACATTTATTGCTTACTTGTAATATGGACCTGCAATTCAATGAATTCCATGATTTGGTTTCAAAATCAATAAATCTTGAGAAATAATGTTTACTTTGCAGAGTATTATGAGAACCAAATGAGTGCTTGCAAATTTGGCACTGAAAATGTAATAACTAATAATATTTGAAAGATTTGCTACCAGTCAGGTATTTTTAGCATTTGAAGTTGCACACAAGTAGGCAAATATTTAAAATTGTAGATGAGAGACAAACTTAATATTAAAATAGAAGCCATGGCCAATTTGGGGTCAGATCAAACATTTTTAAAGCATATTGCTAACCAGCAATATTTTTTGCTTTATCTACAGAATTTCTAATTATGTGTGACATCTAAAAGAAGAATTCTTTATACTGGGAGTACATGTACAGAATCATGTAGTGATTTGGTTGCGGTGTTATTCTTCACTGAATGAGGATGGATACCTGAAGAAACAGCAGAATAGCAGTGGCTAGATCATGCCATCATCGACCACTTCTATTGACTCTTTCCACTTTTTTTTTTTTGCTTTTTGGGTCAGACACGGCAATGCACAGGGGTTACTCTGCGCTCAGGAATTACCCCTGGCGTGCTCAGGGGACCATATGGGATGCTGGGAATCGAACCCAGGTCAGCCGCGTGCAAGGCAAATGCCCTATCCGCTGTGCTATTGCTCCAGCCCCCTTGACTTTTTCCACTTTAAAAGTTCTTCTTCAAATCCCTGTGGTATCTGATAGACTAAGTCAATCCATTCCATTTAAATTTTTTTATTCATCCTCATATGTGAGTAAAGAAAGTCTTTCCTCCTGCTCCATTAGTTCCCAACCCTCAAAGCATTTGAACAAAAAGCGTGGGACCATTAACTCTAGTAAAGATGATAAGTTTTCACACATATTAATTTGAGGAAGTCATCTATATTTTCCACAGTAAGAGGAAAGTATAGTGGAAGAAAATGGAGGTTGCATATGAAAAAAAACCAAAACATGTGACTCATTTTAAGTCAATGTGTTTGTTGATGGAGGATCATTCAAGGAGGGGGAGAAAGCAAGGAGGCTTTGGAGAAAGATATACAAATAAAAATGAGAGAAGAGAATAAACACAGTGGTAAAGAAAAAGAGTATGATGAGAGAAATATCGCTGAATATTCCAAACTTGTAGAGAAGGAAAATACATCTGTAGTGTGTCCATGTTCCTATGTAGAATGATGTTGTTAGAGAACTTTCTTCAATAATGAAGCTGCCTGCAGAGAGATGTCCTATGTGACATTTATGGAAATACAGATTCTTTTTCTTTGCTAATCAATATTTGTGCTATCTAACCCTAACATATCTGTGAAGAGACTAATGGCTTATGACTAATTTCATGTTATTAGTGGACAGAAAGATAGAGGAGAGATGGAATCTGAAAGTAATTTCAAAATTTCCCTTTACTCCATAGTTTCAGATGGCAGTATTGTTAACAAGTTGCATAACTGGAATATTTAGTGCTTCCACTCGCCTGGCACGGCTCCTAGAAAAGAAACTGATTCAATAATAAAATGGCCCTGTCAATGAACAACAGGGATGATGGAGGAATTAAAGGTCTAAAAAATATACATGCTACATAATTAATGCTGCACTGGATTTCAACCCATCTTTGAATAATCCTTGGTCAGTTAGCAATTAGAGAGAATCTTAGGACTAAATGTAAAACTATTAAGTTGCCACATTCTGTGAAACTTGCCAGTTAACATAGAAAATCCTTCCATTCTCTTGCCCCTTCCTTTTCTATTCCTTCCCTTCCTTTCATAAATACTTTATTTCAGAAAAACTGATACTTATTTTCTTGCTCAGGAAGGAAGGAATTATATAACTTTGCCAAGTCCTGCAAAGTCCTATTTCTTAATTATTCAGACCAACTCTTTGAAGTCCTTTATAAAATCCAATGTTTGTCCATTCCTAAATTTTTATCATGGATCCATCTTTTCTGGAATTAGATACTTCCCATCACCTAAATTAGTCAGATGTGTTGCTTACAAAATGAAGAAAAACAAGATGCTGAAGTCCATCATATTCAAACTCAGCTCTTATTATCTCACTCTTCCCATGGAGTCTCTTTTATGTACTCTTCTACCTCACATTTCTGTTTTCATACAAATTTGGATCCCAGTGAAACTGCTGGAATCTGTGAAACTGATTTAGAACACTCCAGGCCCCTACTTTTGCAGAGTGGTGCTAGATATTAATTTACCTATATAGATATTCTGTGAAATTAATAGCAAATTTCTTTCTTCAATGACCCTTAATTTTTATAATCTAGCTCCCTTATTGAGCTACTATTTACCTTCCCTTAACCACAAGTGACCATTGGAAGGATCTTGAATTGTTTTGCCTTCTTTTTATTCTAATTTGTATAATAACTTGGCAGAGTTTTAGTATCTTTCTCATAGAACTTGGGTGATCATGAAATTAGTGCATAACTATTGCATTGCATATCACATAGTAAATATTCAATAATATAGGCTATTGCTTTTGTTTTTGTTCTTAATATGATATGTTGTATATATTGAACTCTGTGTGGTCTCTAAATTAAATTTTTCTGCTTGGATTCACACCTGAATTTGCCATACTTGTTGAACATTAACAACTGCCACTATAATCAGGTTAATTTCCCTAGAGTTAATTCTAATCTTCCTGAAACTTTTCCTCTTGTTTAGTTTGAATTGGCCTCCTATTTAAATTGGTCATGGATGAATCTCGATATTATACAAGTTAGGTATTTCTGTTCTCCCTTCCTTTAGTAGCGATAACTGAGGGTTGCACACACTTAAATGAGTGCTAATATATGTCGTCTCTATGTGTTTCACTCGGCGGGTAGGCGCTTGCCTTGCAAGTAGCTGTTCCCATGTTCAGTCCCCGATACCATTTAATCATGGCAATTGCATACATTCTTGCCATACTCACTAAGGATTGTCATGGTTTTCATAAACATAATTTGTAGGGTCTAAATTTTGGTCATGCTCATGGGTGAAGTGTTTGCATGTCTGAAGTTGGGGTGCTAGCTGAGTGATGCATGCTTTAGTTGTGCTGCTCACACATACCAAGTGTGTCCAGACATCACACATTGTTGTGGGTAAGTCACAAACTGAAGTCTGAACCACACTTAGTATATGTGAGAGATACCAGGCATCAAACTCATGGCTTCATGCTTAAAAAGCAGGCAGGCATCTGAGTCACCCCTTAAATCCTAACATTTTTATTCCATTTCTTTTGGTGGGGGGAGCAGGGGTCATATTCAGCTGTGCTCAGTTCTTGCTCCTGGTTCTATGCTTAGAGACCACTCCTGGTAGTGCTTGGAGCACTCTCTGTGGTGCTGAGTAACCAGGGTGCAAAGCAAATGCCTTATCCTCTCTACTATCTCTCTAGCACTGACATTTCTATTCTTCAGGCACTTAGTACATATAGACTTAAAGCATATCTTTTTTCCCCATTCATTTCTTTACTTAATTGTAGGCTCCTATGGCCAGAAAGCTTGTTAAATATATATGTATATATATATGGAAGTTCCACAATGTATATTTTAAGCAGTGAAATATTGTACATACAAAATATAATACAAATTTAA